CCTTTTGCTTCCCCATATACTTCCCTCCATGTTTCTCTCTAGGATAGAGATCATAGAAAGTGCATGTGCCACCATATTATCAACACAAGCCCATGGCAGATGTCATTAATCTCCATGGCATTTTTTCCTCCTGATTCAGCTCAGGGATATAACCAAAGTGAGTACAAACTGATAAAAATGGGCATTTGGCAGTCTACTCCTGGGTAGATACCAAAGAAAATGAGAGCTTATTTCCACAAAATGCAATGTGCTAGAATGTCCCTGGCACCTATACTGCCAACATCCCCCAACAAAATGTGTAATATATGCATATGATGAAATATTCTGTAATAATGGAAAAGGAAGAAGTACTGATACACACAGTTTGAATGTACCTTACAGATGCAGGGTAAAGTTAAACAGAAAAGAGGAGCACACTATGTGAATCCTATTTATTGCAGTACAAAAACAGGCAGAACTCATCAATGGTGATGGAAATCAAGACAGTGGTTACACGTGGGGCAAAATGACTAAGAGGGCTATTAGGAATCCTACTGGGCAGCTAGAAAATGTTCTGTACCCTGATATTCCTGTACAGCTAGGCTTCTAGTATAACCACCACCAAATAGTTGTTGGTGGTTATACAGATGTGCACATTTGCAGAATTTCAGAGATACACATCTAAGATTTGTGTAATTTTTTTATAGTCAATTTTACCAGTTTGAAAACGATTCCCCATCCCTTGCTTCTCTTTCCATGTATAAGACCTTAAGCATACAGTCTTGAGTCTGACTGTAATTCAGATTCATGCTCTATCCCCTAATGGCTTTGTATATTGAATAAATTACTTAACTTTTTGTACTTTAGCTTCTCACCTCTATAGAAGAAATAAAAATAGCACCTACTTTATAGAACTATTCTGCTTCATATTACATGTGCCTAGCACATTTAATGCACTCCTGTAATATAGTATGGTAGTTTTGTTCTTCTTCCTCTCTCCTCTGACCATCTAGTTCTTCTTTAAACTGTTTTCCTTTTCTCCCCCCTTTTTTTTCTTTCTTTACTCTCCCCTTACTCTTTATGAAGATTGAGCTGAAATCTTATGAATACAATTTCAAAATTAATGACACAATTAAAAAGCAAGTACATTTAATATTTTCTATGCCTCTCTTTAAAAAAAATCATATTACTGAACTAAAATTAGAAGAAGGTATTGATTATTGGCTTTGAAACTTTCAATGGATTAATAATGGTTCCCCAACTTTTCTGTACAACACAATCACAAGGGATTGCATAAAAATTACCAAGCCCAGGCCCACATACCAGACCCATTAGATCACAGTATCTGGTAGGGGACACAGGCATCATGGTCTGTGCAGCTCTTCAGGTGGTTTCAGTGTGTAGACAAGTCTGGCAACTACTACATTACTTGCTTTCTGTTCATTCCTTGGGGATCTGAATTTTTGCTGTACCTTAGAATGACCTAAGAAGTTTCTAACTAATATTTCCACTCAGGTTCTGCCCTGGGTAAGGCCTGACATTTCTAATGTTCAGTCAGCATAGAGAGCTTTGCCCTAAAAAGACAGGTGTCTTGGTCACTTTACTGATCCAGGTAACTACAGCCCTCCATCCTGGCCTAGTGTTCCTCTCAAATCAAAATGCTTTCTTAATTAGGTGCAGTGGTGCACGCCTGAAATGCCAGCATCTCGGGAGGCTGAGGCAGGAGGGTCACGAGTTCACAGCTAGACTCAGCAACTTAGCAGGGCATTTAGCAACTCAGTGAGATCCTGTCTCTAAATAAAATATAGAAAAGGGCTGGGAATGTTGCTCAGTGGTTAAGCAACCCTGGGTTCAATCCCAAATACAAAAAAAAAAAAAAAAGTTTTCTCCTTGTGGTTTTGATAACCCTGTCCTTGTCACATTTCTGTTGAAAGCTGAATATGAAGAATGATGTGATACTGATAAGTTTTTGTCTTGTTTTGCCTTCAGTATGGAATTGTGCTGGATGCAGGCTCTTCTCACACAAGTTTGTACATCTACAGCTGGCCATCTGAAAAGGAGAATGACACAGGGATAGTTCAACAGATAGAAGAATGCCAAGTGGCCGGTAAGGTGAAGAAAAGGGAAGGGGACACAGTGGGATATGTGAACATGAGAGGCTATGAAAGCAGAGCAGAAGAGGAGAAGGAGTCCCAAATATAGGATGCCAATGAAGAACACAGTGGAGCTGCTATTGTAACTTTTTACCATCATAAAAATAATATCAAAATTAGTCCTTAATGATCAATCCCTTGGAAAATAAGCAAATCTATAAATAATTGTAGCTTAGTGATAGAGTAGCATGTTAATATACACCAGGCCCCAGCAACACACACACACACACACACACACACACGATGGAAGTAATTAAGTAATACCAATTCCCCACTAATGGATCACTTCTGTGTGTCTTGCACTGACCAAGAACTAAACATTTTTTATTTCATTTCATCCTATATCTTCCTGCTGAGGTAGGTATTATATCCTATTTTTTTTCACTTTCATTTATTTATTTTAAATCGTTATATATGACAACAGAATGCATTACAATTCATATTACACATATAGAGCACAATTTTTCCTATCTCTGGTGGTACACAAAGTAAAGTCACATCCTTTGTGTCTTTATACATGTACTAAAGGTAATGATGACCATCGCTTTCCACTGTCTTTCCTACCCCTAAGCCCCCTCCCTTCTCCTCCCTCCTCTTTCCCCTTTGCCCTAGCTAGAGTTCATTTAATCCTCCCATTCTGCCCCCACCACACTGCAGCATATTATGAATCAGTATCCTTATATCAGAGAAATAATCAGCATTTGATTTTTTGGGATTATGCTAAAGCATAATATTCTCCAGATATATCCATTTACCTGCAAATGCCATGATTTTATTCTCTTTTAATGCTGAATAATATTCCATTGTGTGAATGTATATGTGTGTGTGTGTGTGTGTATACCACATTTTTTTATCCATTCATCTATTTAAGGGCATCTAGATTGGTTCCAGTTTAGCTATTGTGAACTGTGCTGTTATAAATATTGATGTGGCTGTGTCCCTACAGTATGCTGGTTTTTTAAAATTAATTAATTATTTATTTTTATTATTTCTTACATACATCACAATAGAGGAGTGCATTACATTCATAATTTTTTTGCATTGCAATTCTTAATACACATTTATACCACAATTTATCAAACCTCTGTTTGTATATAAGGTATGTTGACACCAAATTCACATCTTCATACATGAATTTTTTTATAATGATGACCGTCTCCTTCCACTATCCTTCTATTCCCAGTCTCCCTCCCTTTCCCTCCCACCCCTATTCCCTATCTAGAGGTAAACTTCCTCCCTCGCTCTCCCTCCCAACTCCATTTTGAATCACCCCCCTTATATCAGAGAAGACATTCGGCATTTGTTTTTTTGGGATTAGCATAATCTTCTCTAATGCCATTCATTTCCCTGCAAATGCCATGATCAGTATGCTGTTTTTAAGGGGTTTATGGGTGTTGATTTTATATCCTGCTACTTTGCTGAATTAATTTACTAGTTCTAGAAGTCTTCTTGTGGAATTTTTTTGGTCTTCTAGATATAGAATCATATTGTTCGCAAATATGCTAATTTGAGTTCTTCTTTTCCTATCCATATCCCTTTAATTTCTTTCTTCTGTCTAATTTCTGGCCAGTGTTTCAAGAACTACGATAAATAGAAGTGGTGAAAGAGGGCATCCCTCTCTTGTTCCAGTTTTTCGGGGGAATGCTTTCAATTCTTCTCCATTTAGAATGATTTTGGCCTGGGACTTAGTGTAGATATCCTTCATAATGTTGAGATATGTTCCTGTTATCCCTAGTTTTTCTAGTGTTTTGAACATGACGGGATGCTGTATTTTGTCTAATGCTTTTTCTGCATCTATTGAGATGATCATATGATTCTTATCTTTTAGTCTATTGATGTGATGGATTACATTTATTGATTTCCATATGTTAAACCAACCTTACATCCCTGGAATGAACCCCACTTGATCGTGGTGCACTATCTTTTTTTTTTTTTTAATTTTTGTTGTTGTTGTTGGACCTTTATTTTATTTATTTATATGTGGTGCTGAGAATCAAACCCAGTGCTTCACACATGCTAGGTAAGTGCTCCACCACTGAACCACAACCACATCCTGGTATACAATTTTTTTTGATATGTTTTTGTATTCAATTTGCCAGAATTTTGAGAATTTTTGCATTTATGTTCATTAGAGATATTGATCTGAAGTTTTCTTTCTTTGATGTGGTTTTGGAATCAGGGTGATATTGGCTTCATAGAATGAGTTTGGAAGTGCTGCCTCTTTTTCCATTTTCTGAAATAAATTGAAGAGTATTGGTATTAGTTCTCCTTATAGGTCTTATAGAACTCAGCTGTGTATGTATCCGGTCTTGGGCTTTTTTTGGTTGGTAGGCTTCTAATGGCGTCTTCTATTTTATCACCTGATATTGGCCTGTTTAAATTGTGTATATTACCCTTATTCAATTTGGGAAAATCATATGACTATAGAAGTTTGTTGATGCCTTTGATATTTTCTATTTTATTGGAGTACAAGTTTTCTAAATAATTTCTAATTATCTTCTGTGTCTGTGGTGATATTTCCTTTTTCATCATGTATGTTAGTAATTTGAGTTTTTTCTCTCCTTCTCTTTGTTAGCATGGCCAAGGGTCTGTCAATTTTACTTATTTTTTCAAGGAACCAACTTTTTGTTTTGTCAATTTTTTTCAATTGTTTTGTTTCAATTTCATTGATTTCAGCTCTGATTTTAATTATTTCCTGTCTTCTACTGCTTTGAGTGTAGATTTGTTCTTCTTCTTCTAGGACTTTGAGATGTAATGTTTAGTCATTTGTTTGTTGACTTTTTCTTTTAAGGAATGAACTCCATGCAATGAACTTTCCTCTTAGAACTGCCTTCTTGGTGTCCCAGAGATTTCGATATGTTGTTTCTGTGTTCTCATTCACATCTAAACATTTTTTAATCTCCTCCTGATGTCTTCTGCAACCCATTGTTTATTCAGTGGTATTATTTAGTCTCCAGGTATTGGAGTAGCTTTAATTTCTTATTTTATCATTGATTTCTAATTTTATTCCATTATGGTCTGATAGAATGCAGGGTAGTATCTCTACTTTCTTATATATGCTAAGAGTTGCTTTGTGGCATAGTATATGTTCTATTTTAGAGAAGGATCCATGTGCTGCTGAAAAGAAAGTGTATTTGCTCGTTGAAGGATGAAATATTCTATATATGACTGTTAAGTCTAAGTTATTGATTATATTATAGAGTTCTATAGTTTCTTTGTTCAGCTTTTGTTTGGAAGATCTCTCCAGTGGTGAAAGAGGTGTGTTGAAGTCACCCAAAATTATTATGTTGTTGTCTATTTGACTCTTGAACTTGAGAAGAGTTTGTTTGATGAACATAGATTCTCCATTGTTTGGGGCATATATATTTATAATTGTTAAATCTTGTTGGTATATGGTTCCCTTGAGCAGTATGTTCCCTTGAGCAGTAAGTCCTTCTTTATCCCCTGTTAATTAACTTTGGCTTCAAGTCTACTTTATTTGATATGAGGATGGAAACCCCTGCTTGCTTCCACAGTCCATGTGAGTGGTATTATTTTTCCCAACCTTTCACCTTCAGTCTGTGGATGTCTTTTCCTATGAGATGTGTCTCTTGGAGGCAGCATATTATTGGCTCTTTTTTTTTTTTATCCAATCTGCTGGTCTATGACTTTTGATTGGTGAGTTTAGGCCATTAACATCCAGGGTTATTATTGAAACATGATTTATATTCTCAGCCATTTTTGTGTATATTTGGTATTTAACTTGACTTGATTTCTTCTCTGATTAGTTTTTCCTTTAGTTTATTTTCCATTTTTAAAAAACGAAGGGACTGGATTGAAGATACGAATGGTGTGACTCTAATTTGTGGACAACCAGAGATATGAAAAATTGTCCTCTAAATGTATAATATGAGTTGTAATGCATTCTGCTGTCATATGTAACAAATTAGAATAAAAAGTAATTTTTAAAAAATGAGGGCACTGAGATTGAGCGAGGTCACATACTACTTGTTTAAGGTTACTTGAACTAGTAAGAAGCTGGGATTCGAACTAACGCCTGCCTGACTTCAAACCCACATCTTAGTGGTTCCCGATTTGAAAGTGTATCATAACCACCTGAAGGGCTTTTAAAACAGAGATGCACAGCCCTATACGCAGAACTTCAGTGTCAGCAGATCTGGAAGAAAGCCTGAAAATTTGTATTTCTAACAAGTTTCCAGGTGATGCAGAAGGTGCTGGTCCAAAGAATTGCTGTTCTGTTAATCTTTGCACTTTAATCTACAGGTTGGAAGAAATATTGACAGGCCTTCAGCACAGGAGAGACCAGATCATAGACTTTTAGGGATCTCAAGGATCTTTTAAATCTTGTTTCTTTTACAGAGCCTTTTTAAATTTTTTTATTGATTTTTTAAAAAAAATAAATGACAGTGGAATGCATTACAATTCTTATTACACATATACAGCACAACTTTTCATATCTCTGATTGTATATAAAGTATGTTGACACAAATTCATGTCTTTATACATGTACTTTGGATAATGATGTCCATCACATTTCACCATCCTTGCTAACCCCCTGCCCCCTCCCTCCCCTTTCCACCCCTCTTTCCTATCTAGAGAGTGTTTACAGAGTTTTCTTCTCTGTTTTTTTTACAGAGAAGATTAGTGCCTTGCAAGTAGCAATAGGACTAGGACAGGAATCTAGGTCTCACCGTGCTCTAGGATTCCTGCTGCTCTGAACCACTGCATTACAGTGTGTGTGTGTGTGTGTGTGTGTGTGTGTGTGTGTGTTTCTAGTCAGTTTTCTTTTAAGGCTCTGATCCAAGGAAGCTTTGGCTTTCTGCCCTCTCTCCACCCAGTACCCCATCAGGCACTAGAAATTACCATGTCATACCAGAATCTCTCTTTTATCTCTTTAGGCCTTTTAAGCAAGAACCTACTGTTAGTTTTCAGTCAGACAGGAACCCTGGATCCTAGAAGGTAATTGACTTTTAGTCTGATGGCTTGTGGAGTTCACTAATTTTCATAATTTGTCAAGAAAGTACTAGGGCATGTTTCCAGGAAACAAAATCCTTATACCAAGTGGCTAGATGTTCTAAGACATTGGCCCCATCAATTCTGAGACAATATTTCCTCTAATTTATTAAAGTCCAGATTCCTCATTTTAATTCAATGCCTTCCATTCTTACAAAAGTGGTGTTTTTTTTTAATCTAACAGATGTATGTTTTCTGAGGCTCATCCCATGAGTGCATGAATATTTGACCTAACAAATACAGTATTTTCCCCCTCTCCAGAGAGAGAAAGAGAGAGAGAGAGAGAGTAAGAGAGAAAGAAATACTAAGTCCTGGTTTTCTGAATCCAAAAAGCTGGTAATTTAGAGCCAATTTTCTCATTAAAGTTAAATAAATTAGCTGTTTTAAAACCTGTGAATGAGATCTGCTTAACTTATTTGAATAATTATCTTTAAATCAAATACTTGCAATGATGTACTAATAGTGTGACATTTATCTTAATGTGAGATGAAAATATTGAGTGTTAACTTTTAAAAGCTTCAGGAATCTTCATCCTCTCCATAGCAGTAGTCATTTTCACTCTAAAACTAGAGGAAAAGTCTTACTAGGGAAGCAGAGTATTGGAGTGGGAAAGTCACTGAAGAATCAAGGATTCTATTCCTTCTTTTGCTAATGAAGAAAAAAAAACCCACCTCAGAAATTTTAGGCACTTCCCTTGATCACATAGCCAGTAGCAGCTTCTATCTTTTCACTAGAAGCAAGTATGTCTGGTGCTTAATTTAACTTTTGCTATAAATATAATTTTTATTTAGGTATTCTAGGAACTAATGTTGCTAATTATAATTTTGTGGAAGAATCATACAGAAGTAGCTAATAGAGAAGCACACTGTAAGATCCACATCAAATTCTGAGACAACATTATACAATTACTTGAAATTGTACTATCCAGTGGCAAAATTATCAAGCACCAGACGGACTTTCCTCCACATTTGAAAATTAAATCATAACAATGTTAAGTCCAGTGAGTTACCCTCTATGTATAGTAACTTAATATATATCACATCAGGAAATTGATTTTTTTCTTGTATTTTCACAGCAATACTATATTTTCTCTGATATTGTCAAGGTATGTCCTATATATTTTTTAAAAAATGATTATCCTCTTCTATATCTTTCCGTAGGTCCTGGAATCTCAAAATATGCTCAGAAATTACAGGAAATAGGTGACTACCTGGCTGAATGCATGGAAAAGACCAGGGACGTGATTCCAGTGTCCAAGCACCATGAGACACCTGTTTACCTGGGAGCCACAGCAGGCATGCGGTTGCTCAGGTATGGCAGCATATAGAGTTCAGAGAGGCAGCACCAGAGCCCCTGAAATTATAAGAGATAACCACACTTCCCTAGCACACCAAATGCTACACATTCTAAAGAAAGAAAATTTCAATAAGTGAGTAAAACTCCCCAAACCTAGTATATATAATATTAAGATTTTGAGTATGTAAAGAAGCTTTGCATCGGCCATGTGGTATGTGCCTGAAATCCGAGCTACTAAGGATGCTGAGAGAGGATGTATGAGGTGATAGTGAGGAAATTAAAGAGACCACTTCTCAAAAAAAGCCTTGCCCATTTGCCCAT